ACTGAAAACACAGAAGGAGCAGGTATTTTACTAAGCTATCACCACTGGACATCACAGCAGAATGGGATGGATAAAAGATAAAAATGATGGATTTTATATTCTTGCTTTTCTAAATATCATGCTGTCCAAGCATTTATATATGTGATGTTCTATTTTTTCATCATTGTGAGAAAAAAAAACCAGCCAAACCATAACCTGCAATTTTGAAAAGGAAACTACAGCTAGTACTAAATATTCTTGAGCAACATCAGTGTATTAAATTCTGGCACAGTTTGCATAAAGAGACTGTGTGGCAATTTGTAAGAACATGTGAAATAAACATGTTAGGAGTAGTCAGGTGTAACTTTTTCCTTGACACAGTGATAAAATCAGTGATTCCCAGGCTTTCTCATCTGGCAAACCTTGCCAGGCCTCAGGACTGCTGCACAGACCCCCAGACCCCCTCAATGTCAGTGCCTGTTGCAAACAGAATAAATACAACCCTTGTTATGATTTCACAAATAAAGTTTGGAAACCACCAGCCATAATGATGGCTTTGGTTCCCTGCAGCTCTACACTCCTGTGGCTCTGGACTCTTGCTGTGACTCCAGGGAATGGTGGGGTAAGCTTGGGATGGAATATGATGATAGCAGCACTGAGCTACTGAGCACAGCTCCTTTTGCTTGCCTTGGAGAGCCGCTGGCCCAGGAAGGTCAGCAGGTTGTTTGCTTCCTGCTGAGCTAATTGGCAGGGTGACAGCCACTGCTGCCAAACACATGCATTTGTTTCATCTCTGCTGGTTGGGGATATAAACCACCAACAGACAAAAGAGGCCTGCTTTAAAAGAGCTGATTTAGAGCTGGGTGAAGATGGGTTCCCCCCTTAAAGCCCAGTGTCAGCAGTAGCTGCTCTGGATGTGCACAAATAACACACACCCAAGCTCTTTGGATCGGTTCAGCAGGAGGAGGGGGGAACTATTGATCTTGGTATAATATGAAAAGTTACCAGGATCAGGTAGATTTGGCATCTGTGGTTTTGTATTTAAAAGCTGATGCCACTCATAAATGCCAGATTGAATGGATTGTAGGAGAGATGAGGAGCTTCCTGAGCTGATTTGAGATGCACCAAGCTGCTGTATAAAGGACATGTGCAAGGCCCAGGGGAGTCAGTGCAAAGAATCTTGTTAATGTTTATGGGCTTTTGATCAAGTCCTAAAGACAGACTCAAGAGCTGAGATGTTTTGACTTTGAAACAAAGGCCCTGGTGCAATTATATAATTTCTATTATTCTCTTTAAACTGGTGTGTGTTATTCATCATTCTGATCAGAACATGCTTTGTATCTCTGTCCTATTTCTGGTTTGAGGATTGTGATAAACTTGGTAACCTTTTGCAGGCTGTGAAGTTGTACACTTTCTTCAGATCCTCTGTTAGGCTTGTGAAAGTGCTTTTTAAATTTTAAAGGACAAAATTTGTGTTTGTTTTTGCCAATTAGGGATTACCAGGGGCTAATCTTATTCTAAAACCATAGGAATGATTGTGATAAACTTAGTGACCCTTTTCAGCCTGAAAGCTGTACACTCCTTCATTTAGATTGTCAAAGTGCTTATTAAGTTTTAAAGGGAAAAATTTATGAGGCTTTTTTATTTCACCAGTTTGAGATTATTAGGGTCTAGTGGTATTCTAAAAATACAACTTCTAGTACAGCTTCATCTTTGCCTCTCAGAAATTTGCATCCTCTCCATCTGTATGGAAGGTACCTGTTGCTGCCATCTCCCTTTAACAGAGGGCCATCTCTTTGGTATCCTCAGGATTTGCAGGTTTTAATTAGAATGGATTTATGTTGATTAGAGTTGATGGGATTGAAATGCCATGTAGTTATTAATTTCCTAGTTTTAATTTTGCTACTTAGTCATACGTTACCAAAAATATCTTGGAAATGTGTTTTTTTCCCTTGTAAAGTGGCAAACCAGAGAAATAAATGCATCTCGGCAGGCTGTCATTTTGAGTACAACTCCTGCTAGATCCTGACTTAGAATTCTGTGAATGACTATGGAGCTGGATGAAAATGAAAAGAAATACCTGCAGCCAAGTTTTCTTAGATTTTCTTTGAAAACAGGAATGAACTTTCAGGAATTTCTGTTAGGATTTGCTTGGTTTCTTTTTTACATGTAAACACCAATGAACATAATTCCTTGAACATTCCAAAATTTCAAAATGTCCATTTTAATTTTCATCTCTGTAGCACATGCAAGACAAACAGTTTCTGAGCAGAAGTCAATATTTTCCAGCACATGGAATGCTGTTTCCACATTTGCAGGGAGGAAAGTGAAGCATAAAATAATGTGTGGTCCAGTCCAAGGGTCATTACAATCAGTCTAAGGTGCATCCTCAGATGTCACTGCTACAGGATAAGGTGCTGTGCTGGGACTGGCTTTGCAGGCTGCTCATCTCTGCAGTGATGAATAAAGGCAGTAACAAAATTTCCAGAGCAGATAAAAATTCAAATGATCCTCTTTCCTAAGGTCTCATGCTGAGCCCATTGCAGATGAAGAGAGGAGACCACAGCACTGAGATACACAAGTGGCAGAATTTTGGACTGGGAATGAGGACTCTGGCTTTTGCAGAGAAGGGGTTCAGTGCAGAGAATGTTTATATTCAGTGCTGGCATTCAACTAGTTCCTAAAACTTCAGGGTAAAAATTTCTGCAGAAATCGATCCTAAAGATAAATTCACAGCTTCTTTCGGCTTCTCTCTTCTTTCTGTAATCAAACCCATTCCTCACTGAGTACAAGAGCAGAGAACTCAGAATTTCTTTTGATAAAAGCAGAGCTGAGCAGCATTGTTCCACAATGTGTCCAAATAATGCCAATTGCTGTAACACTACATTTCCTGGAGATTTAAGTTCTCTCCTTAATATTCTATCTATCTGGAGACAACTGTTTGAAGAAAACAGCTAAGCTTGATCATAAATTTGCCCCAGCATATTTAGAAGTATTTGTAAGTAAGATCTGAATGAATCTATCCTATGGACTTCTTCCAGAATACCAAGCACCAACTTTGGTCTGCTTCAGTCCATATTTTAACTCTATTTCTGGCTTGCTATGACTTGGAAGTTTGGTCAGCTTTCTCCAAATGGGAATTTTCTGAGGGAGAGCAGCTTTTGGGATCCATTGTGAAGGAGCAGAACTTTGGGAAACCTCGTTGCAGTGGTGTAGGCAGATGGAGACAATCAGGATTCTTTTTCAGCTCCTGGGTCTATGCCCCTTTTTTGATCTGTGCTTGCTCAGGGCTGTTCCAGCCTTTGGGTTTAGGTGGAGGTGAAAGAGAAATTCAAAGAGATACAAACTCAGGATGGGGAATATTCAAATAATTGACTCAATCACAAATGCAGCTGATAATGTTCAACCTGTAAATGCCTGGTTGGTGTTGGAAAGTTGGGAATTGGTTGGGTTTCTCCCACAGCCTTGATTCCACCTCAGGCAGTACTAGGAGGGATTTCCTGCACACACACAGGAACATGGCAGGTAAATTGTCCTTTCAGAACCAGAAGGTGAAGGTGTGCTTGGAAGCTATTGGTTTCTTGCTTCAGTTGCAGTGTGAATTTTCTGGATAAAAGAAAAAATCTCATCTTGCTGTTATCCACACAGGAATTTGCACTAAGAAGCCAACACTTGCAGTGTGACCTATATGATATTGCTGTTAATTATGTATTATAAATGCTGCTTTTCCTATTTTTTCACTGGGAGGGGCCTCTTGGCTTCTCAGTTCATATGCATTGCTCTCATTAACATTAATAAGAATTTAGGTGTTGCAGAGTGATTTCAATCTGTTTTGATGTCATTCCCCAATACTTACCAGGGTCATGTGCTCCAAATAAAGGCAGAATGTCATTCTGCATACCAGGGTGCTCTTGGGATCCTGTTTCCTACAGAATTACACCCTGAAGCTCCTGGAGCCAAGCAGGATTCCATGGAGCTCTCTCACACGCTCAGGCCATTCTGATCCATCCAAAGAGCTGATATGTTCATGCCACAGAGCTGTCACAGCCATGCTGCAGCACAGAGTTCCACTCATCCCTTTGTGGGAGGCTGGTCTCTTACCCAGTTTCCTTTATAATAAAAGGAGTAATAGCTGTGTGCAACTGAATTTCTCTGCTGTTTTTGTTAGTGGATCAAATTCCTCCCTGAAATAACCAGCTACAGTTCAGCTGAATGAAGGCTATGGCTTCATTTGCATCATTGCATAATTATTTATTTCAGCCTTACAAAATCCTTTGTTTATTTTTAAATTCACATCATACTAAGCAGAAAATAATGTCATGCCCTGGAGCAGTGCAGAAACCCTGATTAAGAGAAATAGTGGACACTGAGAATGATGGTAATACACAAAGGAGTAAGAGTGGAATTTGAGTTCCTATAGGTCACGATTTACACAAACCCCTTGGTCACTGGCCAGTTCTTAACTCATTTTGAGTGTCCTTTTTATTAGGATTGGAGAGCAGACTTAAAAGCTGTATTAATGAAAAAAACAATTGGCATGATTGAACCAGGCCCTAAATGCATAGTGTCTGTTGGAATTAGATGAACAATTCCTGCATATTTTGCTACTGTAATGCAGGATTAATGTTTTCTGATCATGTTTTCATTACTTGTTCTTTGAGAGCACTGAGACAATTTGAGTGAATCTTTGTATTTGTAATGGGTCCATCATGTGGGAAAAGATAAATGAATGTGATTCTTGCTGTCCTTATTTGGAGAGATCAGGGATGGATTGGGAAAGTCAAACAAAACCTGGGCAGAACTGGCTCTAGTTCAGACTGTATTTTCTACACTGCCTACAACTAATATGTTTGTATTTGATTTGGACACTTTGTATTGGTAAAAGGGAGTCAGGCATAAATGAGGCCAACACTATTATTCAGTGTTATTAATGATGTTGTCTACTCTTAGTTCCTCAAAAACTAGAAAACTAATAAATTTTACATATTGGAAAAAAATCACAGATAAATCAAACAAATACATAAATTCTTTAAAGTATTTAATATGTGTTAAGAGGACAGGATGATGAATTCAATATTGAAAACCAATATCAAGTTTACAATTATGTACCATTTATCATCACTGATTGCACAGACAGAGTATTATTGTGGGGAACAGAATGATGCATAAACTAAAACCCTGATTGGTTTTCTAAAAAAAAAAAACCAAGTTAAAATTCATGTTATGTCTGAAAAGCTTTGTTTTTCTTTTTCAGGCATTATTTTCAATAGTAATTGTTCATTCAGACACAAATGATGCATATTTAATTTCTTGGGGTTTGATATTAACAGTATAATCATTTTCCAGTGTTGATAACTTGTGCTTTTACAAACACCAGCAGGATTCAGTTTGCTGTTGTTTCCTGAGGCCCAATTTCCCCTTTAAGCAAAAAGAACATATGGAAAATAAAAAAGTGGAGAAGAACATGTTTAAATTGGACATGTAGAAGCAAGCAACTGAAAGCAGCAAAATGCTCTTGAAAGGTGAATGGACTTTGAAGAGAAAACATGTACAAGTGGCTGGTTTTACTCAGCAGATCTTTTCAAAGGGTAAAATTCTGCCTTCCCAAAAGCCAACAGCAGAGCTTGCAGTGACTTCAGTGTTTTCAAACTCCTGTTGTCTGTGTGAAGGACATACCTGCTCACCTTTATGAAAGAGCTGCTCTTCTTTAAACTCCTGTCACCCCAGCTGAGCTCTGGGAGAGGAAAATGAATTCTTCTCTGGCTCACACTTTATCAGCAGAATTATTAAGCAGTTTTCTGTGCAGAGTCACTCTTGTAATACACTCCTGAATTTTCCCCCCTTTTTTTCCAAATCTTTTTCTCATTTTCATGTTGGTGCTCAGGTTTCTTGGGGATAACCAGATATCATTTCACCAAACTGAAGCTGTGCACTCATAACTGAGAGTTATTTTGTCCTTCAGAATCTCAGCAACTCAATCTGATTTATGAAAGAATCTGGCTAAGCTTGAAGATTCAGCTGGAGTTTACAGAGTTATAACTCTAGCCTAGACTCATTGAGTCAACAATAATAAGAAAGAAGCCAAACTGTCTTTTTTATATATCTTTTTTGTAAACTACACATTTTAAAAACAGAAGCACTGAACTAGAACCAGTGTGCTGCAATCTAGTGCTGTTTGCACTGAATGTCTTTTAGAAGGTGGCTGCATTTAAATAGACACCAAGAAGAAATGAGAATTCCAGTAGTCAGCCTCAAATGGAGGAGCATCCATGGCCACATCCATTGGCATTTACTGACATCTACACCCCTGCAAGCAGACAACCATAGTGCAGAGAATGCCAGAACTTTCCATGGGAAATTACTGAGCTGGATGGGATTTTATATGAGCAAGAAGAGTGGGGCTGAATGCTTTGCCTCAAATATATGTCAAAAGTCATACAGCAGAATGTGATGTCTTGGGTTTCATTGGTGTCCAGAGAACTCATAGTTTGACAGGCCACTTCTTTGGAAAGTTTTACAGAGAACACTGAAAGACAAAGAAAAAAAATTGTCGCAGCAGGCTTGCCTAATTCATTTTAAGCAGTCAGGTTTAGTCTCTCTCTTCTTACCATTTAAAAAGGAAGATCAGGGATGCTAAATAGCTGCCCAAATGGAAACTGGTGACAAAACTGAGTTCTAAACAATGGCATCAGTATAGAGCAACTGGTGGTTTTTAATATTCTTAGACAAACAACAAAACCTAATTATCTTTATTTATTCAATAAATCAAGTTCAAATTTGATCTATTGAATTGTATTAAATATTGAAAATAATTTAATAAATGAACACGATTGCTAATTTATTATTGATATTCATCATTAGGATTTTGGTTAAAAATAATTTAAAACAGGTGGAGAAAGATAGTGAGGAATTCACCTCAGGTACCAGTACTGCTGCAGAACCTGCTTAGGTTGCCTTAGCCATGGGTAATGAAGAAAAATAGCTTGTGGAGCCAGGGAGGGAGCAGAACTGGGCCTGGGAAAGAGGTAGGGAAGGAGGAATCGCTCCAGCACCCAGGGATTCTCCAGGGCCCCATGCTGCTGGCTCAGGGGGCTGCTGCAAGCTCTCAGGAATGCTGCAAACCAACACAGCCCTGCAAGGCAAGGCTGGGAACCTGGGGGCACAAAGGCAGTGCTGGAGTGAAGGAGTTTTTTGGGAGGCTGGGAGGTTGCAGGGAGTCCCTGATGGAGCCAATGTACCACTCCTGGCCCAAACAATGTCCTTTTTGAAACACTGCCATCACCTGCAGTCATGCACTGGCACGTGACCAAGAAACACACAGTGCAGGACAAAGGATTTTGGCAGCCTCATATGGACATAAAATACTGTACAATGTGGGGATTCATCCTGTGGCTACGGTGACAAAAAATGTTCTATTAATCCTTTTGGTCCTTTATCAAAAAGGCACTTGGTCTTGTGTTTCTTGCATACTGAGATGTTAAAAAAGCAGGATCACAGCCAATATTGTTATTCTAATTAGAATATAATCAGTAATAGTACCTAACACAAGTAGAGCATTTCATCTTGAAAAGCCTGTGCAAGCATAAGATTGCTGGCTAAGAGCTAAGTTGGTGCAGCTGTTCAAATCACCTGTCATGAGCCTTTTGGTCTAATGATTTTAATCATTATGCATTTGTAACTTCTGGTACATCTTTCAGGAAGAAAATGACAGCCGTGGGGTGCGACTCATTCCCTGGCTGATGCCTCCCTGAGCATGCGGTGGCACTGAGCCACCCGGGAGCAGCAGCGATGCAGTCGATGTGACAGAGCAAGGGCAGATGCTCTGGACGGTAGAGGATGCTAGAGCAGAGGTAAATTTTCCACGGCGCTTTTCCCCATTAGCATCCCCTGAACCCCGCGCGGTATCAGCTCGAGGCAGCGTCTCCCCGTGCTGGGGCTGCTGTGGGCACTGCGAGCTGCGTGTGCCCGCCCGTGTGTGCCCGCTCCGCCAGCTGCGTGCGTGCCGCTGCTTGCAAACCCGGCACCTTGAAATGGGTCCAGAAGTTTGCATGATCTCCCTCTAGCACATCCGCGGAGTCTGAGGGGTCCCTGCTCGGGAGATCGCGGTGTTTGAGCCGCAGGAGGCAGAGCCCTGCTTTCCCCCATCTCCTGCCTCTGCTGAGCCACCAAGTGTTTCTGCCTCGGCTACAGTTTGTCTCCTCATTCCCACATGTTGGGGCGGCAACCTTGGGATGCCGGGGTGGCAGCCTGATTCTTTATCCTTCTAGGCTATTGAATGTATTTTAATTTAATCGGGCAGAGAAAAAACCCCAAAACACATACACAAAGCCCAAGGCATCAGGACTAAATCCCCCTTCCCCGAAACAACAAACTGTTAAATAAATAACGAGATGCCAAACCAACCATCACCAAACGAATAAGCCAAAAATCAGCGTCAGCGCCGCAGGAAACGGGAAAGTTTCTGCGCTCTGAAGCTGGTACCGCACGTCAAAGCGAGAATCCAGGGGGAGGGGAGCGGAGCGCAGCCTCAGCCCAGCGCCTGCGAGAGCCGGGGATGCGCTGGTGCGCCCAGCCCTGCATCCCGGAGCGACTGCCCGAGAGATGCTGCTGTGACTTGGTTCTGCGCCGGGAAAAGAGCGGCTCCGAGCCCCCACCCCCGTCTCCTCCCGCCCTCCTCTTCCTTCCCCCTCCCCCGGGTCCTGCGGGGAGGCGGGCTTAAGGTGGGTCGTGTGGCCGCGGTAACTTTCCTAACAGAGCCAAAGAGGCGCCCGGAGTCCCCCGCAGCAGCATCGCCGCCCGTCCTGGGCACGGCACCGGCCCCGGCGCGGCCGAGGCTGCTCGGGCTCCGCTCGCCGCCTCCCGCCGCCGTCCCTCGCCGCAGCCCCGCGGAGCCGGAGCCGGGTCCCGCCGAGGTAGGTGCGAGTCGGGACAAGCGCCGGGCGCTGCCGGGGACGCGGCACCGGAACCCCCATGGCCGCAGCTGCGGCTCCCCACGCCCCGTGTGTTCCTGGCGCTGCTGCGGGGCAAGGAGCATCCTCTGCACCCCCGGCTGCCAGGGACCGAGCCCCTGCCCTGCTCCACCTGGAACTGCCCAGGCAGCCAGGACGAGCCGGGGGGAGGCAGTCTCTCTCCAGTCCCTTGCCTCAATCTTTGCATTCTCGTTGGTGCTTTTGGAAGTGCTGAGCTAGGAGATGTGCGCGTGGGTGAGATCTTACGCCTTTATTAGGACTCCCCCCTATCAGCGCTTCTCTCGGAAGCCGCTTCCTGCCCCCCGCGTGGTTTACTGGGGTGTTGTATCGGCACGAACTTTCTTCTGGTTGCAGGAGACAGATTTGGTCCCCTCGTGTCCCCGCGTGTCCCCGTCCTCGGGCTGCTGCGCCGCGTGGGCGAGCGGACTGGGGCTGGCGCTCGCTGCTCGGATTGTAGCGGCCGTGGTGGCTTCCCCTGCGTGTACCTGCCGGGGCTCCTGGTGGGAGAAGGTGTTTGGGGCAGGGAGAAGTTGTAGGATGCAGTGTGTAAGCGACACCTGCGTTTCTAGAGCCTGGCAAGGGGGTGGAATCTCACTCTCACTGGCGCTACTCGCTGCTGCCAAACATTGCCTTCTTTGCCTAGGCAGGGCTCTGGCCACGCTGCCAGATGGTTCCTAACAAAGAGAGAAGTTTGGCAGTGTCAGGGCACGGGCTCCCAAAGGCAGCGCTCAGCCCGCAGGGACAGCGCACAGCTCCGGTGCCTGTGTTTGTCTGTGCCGGTACCCAGCGCTGGCGCGGGCACCTGACTGACCCAGAGCGGTGCGCAGGGCATCAGTAGCTGGGAAACCAAGGCTGACATCGCTCCGCGGTAAATAAATCTCCTGTGGTCACTGTGATCACTGCATGCTGGGCTTAGCCCATCCTCCCCTCCCCACAGGAAGAAAGTCCGGAGTTAACGAAAAGAAAGGCTGATATTCATGTTTTTATTGCCCCTTGACAGAACAGAAGTATGTAACACATAAATTAGCCAGAATGGAGCAGCCTGTCTGCCTTCCACGACCTGTCAGATGGGGGAGATCCCACCCCCTGTTATACTCAGTCCTCTATTTTGGCAATAGAAATCTCAGGGTTAGGTGACTGGAGGTTATGTCTCAATTTCACATCATTGGGCTAAGGAAATCTGACAAGATCTATGCTGGGATAAAGTCTGAGTCAGAATCCTTTCCATGCTTAGATGTCTCCTAGAGCCTATCCAGAGCTTTGCTGTCCCTCTTGCTGTTTGGACTTTCCTCCCATGCCTACTTTGTTATTAAATCCCACAATTTTTCCTTCTCAGAGTAGTTAATGCCTGCTGGATGGATTCTTTCAGGTCTATTGCCTTGGTTATAGTGCTGCTAAATAAAGGTGACCAAACCTACTGAACAGCCTCACCACAGGGTTGGATTTTAGCCAATCTTTTACAGAGCATGGATCTGTTCTTGTTTATGAACAACTTGATGTTCATGAGTCCCGCTCTGGAGTCTCTTAAAGTTGGTGTGGGACACCTGAAATTGTCTTTGATGAGGTTAATAAATGCTAATAAGCATGTGTGAAATACGTTTGCAAAATCAGTTTCATGGCTTATTTGTCAGTAACAACCTCTGGAGGCTTCTTCAGTGTTTAAACTCTTAAGTTCAGTTTTATTTCTACTTCTTGTTGATACCTGAGTAAATTTGTTGCAGAATTGCAAGAGTTTTATGGTGAAAGTGTTTCAAAATATGAAACATTGAAAATGGTCATATAGCCATGACCTGTTTTTCAAAGCGACCTCAGTATTGTCTTTATTTCCAGTCACTCCCAGTCACCTACTTTAAAAAATTTGGTCATTTTTGTTAAAAACCCCAAATTGGCTGATGTTAAATACTCACTAGTAGGCTGCATTACGTTGCTCCAGCATTTTACTTATGAAAGAGGCCTAATTTGATCTCTTGTTTTTTTTAAAGTTAAATATAAATTAATTGTCCAAAGAATCAAACAGAAGCCAAAAGTCTCTTTTAAGAAGTCCCATATTTACTGTGAATGAGGCACTCAGCTATTTTCACTTTGAACAATCCATCGTGCTTTAAACACCAGGCAGCAGAATTAATATTTAAGCAAATGCATACGGCAAAACTATAAATCACTGCAAACAGTTAATTATATTGGAGCTGTGAAAATACCTTCGAGTACAGTCTGAAACAGCATAAACTATTTCTCTCTAGTGTGATCACAATTCTTACAAACCTTTTATCCTTGTATGTGAAATCATTTCTAATTCTGTGTTCCCGCTAAGCATGTGCTTGGTTATTGTTTTCAGAACCATGTGGTTTGGGTTACTATTTGAATATAATATTTATGATACTACTTTGGTTGTTCAGCTTAAAAAGGGAAGTGCTGCATACCATGGCATATTAAAAAGCTTCCATGTAATTACTACTTTTTGCAGTACTGCTGTGCAAATCTCTGGGTCGGGAATTTAAATGGAGATTTTACAGAGTTCACAGTTACTGTATATAAAAGCCATAAGTCTCCTTCTCGAAACCTGGGGGCTGGGGGCTGCAGGCACTGGGGAGTGTGGAGTGTGGTGCCTGCACTGGTTTTTACCTTTTTCCTATTGCAGCATCTATGCTTGCCATTGGCCTTTGTGTACTCCCAGGTGCATGGAGTGTGGTGGGCTCCCCCAAACCATCATCTCCCCCAAAGCAAATCTGTCCCCTTTGGGTCTGAATTACCTATTTACATATTTACTGTCATATTGTCATCTCATCCAAACATGTCTGTTCTGCTTGTACCTCACAGAGGAGTGCATGAATGGGAGGCAGTTCCACTGCCCCTCTCTGCCTTGCCTATCCATGCAAAGGAACCTGGGAGGCTGCAAGAGGCAGAGTCTGTTGCCAATTCAAAGCCAAAGCCCCTGGGAGATTCTTCAGGGATGGTGATGGACCTAAGACCACACTGTAGATGCCTGTAGGATTCAGGTCTCACAATCCCCTTACATTTCCTGCCTGGTCTCCAGTTGCTGCTCCACCAGAATTCCATTGTCCTGGGAGACACACATTGGATCTGGTGCCCAATGCAGATATCTTGGTTTTCCTCATGTGTCTCAATAGCATTTGGGATCCCTGTAAAGCCACAGCATCCTGCCCTATCTCACATATTACAAAGAATGGCTAATAGTAAAACCCTTATCAATGAAATAGTTACAATTACCATTGTGGATAAATGAGTTCCCCCCAGAAAGGCTTGTTCAGACATTAATGGAAAAGATAGAAAAAATTCCCCCTCATTGTTCTATGCCCTGCAGACTGACCATGCTGCCAGATCCACCCGTGTGCTCCTTTGCACAAAACTGATTGAAACTTCAGTGGAGAAGTTCTGTATGTTAAAGAGTGAGACATGAAAAAGCTTGTAGAAAATTAAAAGAGCCAGTCTCAGAGGAGACAAATCCCAGACAGAATCAGTTTGAGATTGCCAGGAGAGTTCAGCCATATGACACTTCTCTGTGAGTCCTGTGAGCAATGTACAATCGATGTGTGCAGGTAGAGAGGAGGAATTTTGTTTAAGAGCTTGTAGAATGTGACCGCTACCTTATGAATTACAGATAAAGTACTAAATTCATGAAGAGACAATATCCCACACTGCTGTGAAGATCAGGCTCAGTAGCTGTGAGAGTGGGTACAGCCCAGAGAATCTGAGGCATTCAGTCAAGATGACCAACACAAGTGCAGAATTCTCCAGGATGAGTGTGTTTACAAACACTTGGGTCTGACCAGTGGAGCTCAGCCCTCCAGGCAGGTTCTGTAGTCTGGCTGCTGCTCTAAAGGGAAGCTATTGAAATTTGTATGAAAGCTTCTTTGTGAGTGAGGCAGAGAGGTACAAGATGAAGGTCACCACTTAGCCCGCTCACAGAAATGCAGCAGGAATGAAGAGCTCACCCAGCTCACACCAGATTGCAAACAAGAGCAGAACTTTAGGGCTCACTTTTCCCTCTGCAGTAAGAACTAGCACTGAGAATTTCTCCTGGCACCAGCCTGAGAACAAAAGCTAATGAATGAATGAATAGGCACGAGGCTGAAATGAGATTCACTGCTAAACATGTGCTCTGCCTGGAGGAGGAGTAAGAGAGTAGCTGAGTGAAAATAGTTCTGTGCTCTAACTTCACATAGTTCATTTTCTAGTTCTTTTTTCACCAAAAACATTTCATAAGGGCTAATAGTCACTCCAAAAAATATTTTAAAGGGTCAAAAAGACACCATAAAACTTGTCAGAATATGACAGCTGACAGGTTGCCCGAGTGAGAAATTTGTAAACAAGTTTGTGTTGTTTTTTTGTTTTTTTTCTTTTTGCCCTGTTTGTTTTATTTTTGATTTTTATTCTTTTGATATTTAACTGGTAGATATGAGTGGAAATAGGTTCAGGTTCTCCTAAGCTCAGATATTCAGAAGTTTTGCTTAGCCTTTTATCTTGGATTCCTTGTTAAGATCTAGACTTTTGCTAACCTCCTGC